TAAACACGCGTCGGGTGCGCCTACGCATGAAAAAGACGAACGCGCTACACATGTTGGGTATCGCCGCGCACGCCGGAGTGAGAGCAATAATTCTAGGGGCAGTATTTTGGGGTATCTCTAAATTGATGACCTGTGGGGGCTTTTAAAGTGTCTTTTATTGATTTTTTTTGGGGTACTGCAGTTTTTCGCCGTTTCACGGTCGCACGCAATCTGTAAACTGGGCATGTTGGGTATCGTTTTACTCGTTGTAACCTCATCTTTTATATTTCATTAAAAAAATTGGTAATTTGTTGTGTTTTGGGGCATTTAATTAAATTTGTCACTAAATTTTGGGGTTTAATAAGGAGTTGCGCTAATATTGCGCAACATAAAAATTTTCAACTACCACCATTTTATTCTATAGGGTCTTGGCATTCAGAAAATATATAATGTTGGGGGGTTTTACGTCATTTTCAGGCCTAAAATGTGGAATATAACATGGGTGCAAAAATGGAAAAAAGGGCCTCAGTCATGAAGGGGTTAAAGTAACACCCTTGTGACATTTTGCTTGAAAGAGCCTTCTTGGAGTTGTCCCAATATTCTATTGCAAATTCTATTCATTTTCACATTTTAATAATGCTTGTTCACCATTCTTTATGAACTGGATGATGAATGAACAGAATCTGGAAATGAAAACCTTAATGGACTCATTTGGTATACCTTCCATCTTGAGAACAGGCATGTTGACTGCCTTAAGGGCTCATGCACACTGGTGTCAAAAATGCTTTGTTTCTTAGTATAGTGTTCTGTTTTCTTTGGGGAGGGGGTTCATGTATCTAATGCTGTACACATGTAAACATTTGTGCTAACACTTACATGCAGATAGCATGCTGCACAGCCGGTCTCTTTTTGGAGCTTAGAAGCAAATGGTACTAGGTGCTAATGGCCACCTGCGTCCTAGCAGCCAGTTGACATTAGGCAGTGGCGACCATCTTAGCAGCCAAAGGATGCTGGGTAGTAACGGCTGCCTGCGTCCTAGCAAACAGTAGGGTACATTTGCATTGTGCTCATGTATAAACATTGCCACGAACCTTTTATGCATTCAGTGTCCAAACAGGATTTCACACCAATGTGCATTACGCCTAATTGGATGCATAAGGTTTACCTCATGCTAACGTTAACTTTGTTGTGCATTGAGGTTTTTATTTTTTGGCCTACATGAGTAAAGGGACTTATGCGCATCTTGCTGATACCTTAAATTGTGCATTAACTTTTTTCAGATCTACTGACCATAGATGTTATGGTTCCGTATTAGAATTCTATCATTTTGCCATTCTGCATATTGTCATTGGTTATCGAATGACTGACTCGTGAAAGTGTCTGGAACTTTTATTGGTGGTGTAGGCCCAACATTTATGAAATAATTTTTCATTGGGAGAACCTAACATTGCGCTCTCCCAAATCTTGTATCCCTTTGTATCATAGACTTGTGTGTCTGATCCAAACTAAGACTGTTTTATCTTTTTGTAGAACCACCAGCTGCGAATGGCCAAGGAGAGCAGGAGACCGTCCCCACAGAGGAAGCTGCCTCTGGTAGCAATGCCGTTGCTGTAGCTGCTGCATCCCCAGTGACTATTGTAGCTGTGGCTGCTTCATCCTCCTCTCCGGTACATACAGTGCAGCCTGTATCCAGAGCCGTGACTACTGTGACTCAGTCCACACTGATGCCTGGACCTTCTGTTCCAGTAAGTAAATCCGATTCCATAAGAGTATCTTTTTTTTTTTTCTAGGCACCAACCGCTTTTAATCTTGATATACTGACTTATTAGTTTGTAATACTAAACAGATCTAAAACGTTGGCTTTTTATTCTTTCTCTTTTGCAGAACATTTCATCGATGTCTGATCCAGCCCCTGAGGATGCTATACAAAGTTCAGAGGCTGTCTCCGGCAATGAACAAGCTGAAAGCCAGTTGTCTTCGGATATACTCCAGCCTCCTGAAGCAGAGCCAGAAACGCAGGCTATGGACTCTGCAGTGCCGGAACATACTGAAGCACAGCTACGAGCGGCGATGGAAGCAGACCAGGCCCAGGCGGCAGCTGCTGCTGCGCAGCAAGGAGTTGAACAGCTTTCACTTCCCCAAGAACTTATGGCAGAGGGTCAGACAACGACTCTAATGGTCACAGGGTTAACCCCCGAGGAACTGGCAGTAACTGCCGCCGCTGAGGCTGCTGCACAAGCTGCCGCCACAGAAGAAGCCCAGGCATTGGCTATACAAGCGGTTTTACAAGCTGCACAACAGGCAGTAATGGGTAAGTTCAGTGTGGAGGAGGAAAGTTGTGAATTAGATGTGTAAGAGGAAAATCTTTGTCGAAAAGACTCTCGGTTTTAGATGAATGCTCCTGGATTTTAGCATGCAGAAGGTGAAGTTCTTTACTCTTTTAGCTTAACCCCTTCCCGACCGATGACTGGATTATCCCATCATGATCGTTCAGTTTAACGACTGGTAACAGGATAACCCTCTCATTCGGTACAATGAGCGCTGGTCCGTGAACAAAAATAAATTGCCATGATTCCTCCAATACAAACGGCGTGTCGATCGAGAAATTGCCGCTGTTTGCATTGTATTCTGACAGGTGCTGCCAGTACCTGCCAGAATACCCAATGAGAGCGGGCAGCTCATTGGCTGCAAGATCTGATTGTACAAAGATTTTACAAATGGCTCCTTCGATCAGCTGATTGAGGAATGCCGGCCGAAATTGAGCCAACAGCCTCACACAGTGCAAATTTCGACCGGTACATTAAAAACCGGCCAACATTCGGCCGGTGTATGGGCACCTTTAGATTGCGTCTAGAGAAGAGAACAATTGACTAAAAAATCCAACTAATTTCGTTTCCTTTTATTTTATTTAATATTTTTTTCTATTTTTTTTTATTATTGGTTTCCGAGCAGCGGCTGGAGAGCCCATGGATACTTCTGAAATGGCTCATGCGGAGCTTCGTCACCTAACGTCTGAAGGCCCTACCACCACAATCCCAATAGTGCTTACCCAACAGGAACTGGCAGCTCTGGTTCAACAGCAGCAGCAACTGCAAGAAGCCCAGCACCAGCAACAGTTACAGCAGCAGCTTCAGCAGCAGCAGCTTCAGCAGCAACAACTTCAGCAGCAGCAACAACTTCAGCAGCAACAACTTCAACAGCAGCAGCAACAACTTCAACAGCAGCAGCAACTTCAGCAACAGCAACAACTTCAGCAACAACAACAACTTCAGCAGCAGCAACAACTTCAGCAACAGCAGCAACAACTTCAGCAACAGCAGTTACAGCAACTTCAACTGCAGCAACTCCACCATGTGCCTACAGAAGCCCTCGCACCGGCTGACAGCCTCAACGATCCTGCCAGTGAAAGTAATGGACTCAATGAGCTAACAAGTGCAGTGACTAGTTCAGTGGCCCTTTTACCTTCCACTGCCAGAGATAGTGAATGTCAGAACAGAACTGTTTATTATAATCTTTTGTTGTGTAGTTAACCGAGTACACAACAGTATAGGTTAGAGATAGATAACGAAGGAATAAAGAACACCGACTTGGTTTCAAAGGGGGATATTGTATAGGGACAGACAGATGGGCACCAAAAAATCGCTCTCATATTGTCATACAGAGAACTCGTTGTGTTGCGTTGGGGCTTCTGAACACATTGGCACATTGTGGTGACGGAGAACCGTTCTGTCAGGAACAGGAAAAAGATCAGTGGGCATGAACTATTTTATGTGGTTGCTCTCGTTTTTCTATCTGCATTAACACTGCCTTTCTTTACCAGGTTTGGCTCCAACTAATACCTTCACAACACCTCAGCCCGTGGTAATCGCCAGTCAAGCTAAATTGCAGGCTGCAGCGGCCCTTACTGAAGTAGCAAATGGCATTGAATCGGTATGTCTTTTTCTGGGGGCATGTTCATTATAGTGATGTCTTGGTTGTTGGGCTCTGTTTATGCTTGAATGCTCTAGGTTCTTTTTGTATCCATATGCCAATGACTGGGGCAGGTCATTTCCAGCCTAAAACAGTGGAATATTTTTCATGGAATATATTGAAGCTGTTCTGCTAAATCTCAATTCAAGAAATGTATTCACTTTATGCATTTACTCTTGTACAGAAACAAGACTCTCCGCCTCAGCAGCCCAAGACGCCGCTGAAGAAAGATAATCAGTGGTTTGATGTTGGTGTAATAAAGGCTACAAACATGATGGTTACACATTACTACTTGCCTGCAGATGATTCTGCCAATGATGTAAGTATGTTTTGCACTTGGGGCCTTGTATATACTTTTATATGTAGAGGTGCACCAAAATGGAAATTTTAAAAACTAAACCGAAATTTAAAAAAATTGTCAGGCCGAAACCGAAAAATGTTTGTTTTAATTTTTTTCAAATTTTTTACATTTTATTTTTATAAACGTTTTAATTTTTTACGATTTTATTTTTTTATTAATTTTTTTTAACTTTACTCTTAGGGGCATCAGGGAAATATTAGGGGTCTAAACAGACCCCTAAAATTTTCCTTTTTAAAATAGAAAGAGATTGAGGAACCAGTCATCAATCTCTTTTTCTGTATCCCCCGTTATCAATAAACAAGAATCCTCGGAGTGCTCCGGTTCATTGATAACATGAGGACAGAGTATGTTTACTATAGCCACAATTATGAATGAACAGGAGGTGATGTAGATCACTTCCCATTCATTCATAATTGAGGATATAGTAACCATACCATGTCCTCAATTATCTACAAACACTCGGCGATTCACTGAGTTTGCTCTCCTCTGACACGCTGTCACGGGAGGCTGAGCGAGCGGTGCAGGGAGAGCTCATCCTCCTGTGACATTGCGGCTGTCCGCTCTGCCGGACTGTGATAGGAGGCTGAGCGGTGTGGTAGGAGAGACGCCGGCCGCTCACAGTGCTCTCCTCCCGCAGCGTTCGGCCGCCTGTGACAGTTTCTCCCCTCCCCGCTGGGACACAGAGCAGCGCCCAGCGGGGAGGAAAGAAAGCAGGGATGCGCCGATGTCTTGGCAGGAAAATGGCACTTTCGGCATTTAGCCAAAGTGCCATTTTCGGGCCGATATGTTGCGGTGGCCGATATATCGGTGCATCCCTATTTCTATGTATAGGTAACTATTACAACTAGAAGTGTCCTTTCCATAACATTCAGCTTTAAGCATCAGTGTATACATAGCTCACCGCTTTACTTTGCCATTGGAACATGTGAGGTTAGTGTTGGCTTGATCTTGTTCTCTTCATAGAGGGGTTGATATCTGGCCTCCGTGCCTGCATTCTGAGAAGCCTACCCCTGCTGGCTTAAATATCTTTACACTTTTATAAATGTAATCTCTTGCTTTTAGTGATAGTGGGGGCTATGCTGATTTTTGGGACTTGGTTTATAACCATCATTGTGTTTGCAGGATGAGTCTGGTGTCCTACCAGATTACAGTCAATTAAAGAAGCAGGAACTACAGCCAGGTACGGCCTATAAATTCCGCGTAGCTGGGATAAATGCTTGCGGTCGTGGACCCTTCAGTGAAATCTCTGCCTTCAAGACCTGTCTACCTGGTTTCCCAGGTGCACCGTGTGCCATAAAGATCAGCAAGGTACTGATGGTTCAGTGGTGGAAAGTTTTTTTTTTATGTCTGTTTAGCCTCCAGCCTGACTTCTCATGTATCAGATGGAGAACATTAGAACAGGTTCTCAGCCTTCAGAACACACATGCTGAATGTTTCATGGGAGCATATGCAGCTGTAGCTTGTGTACTGAAGCTCGATATGGTTCCCAAAGACTTCCTAATGTTCAAAGTAGGGTGATGGTTAGGATTGCCAGTGTGTGTTGTGTTTTTTTTACTTCTAAAAACTTTGTAGTTCCATACCTAAGTAGCTGTGTTGTGTGTACTAAATGCCTATGAAACAAAGTAGTGGAAACATTACTGTGCTGCACATAGCCTGAGCAGTGCTGTCTGTGGGACCCAGCAGATCTACAT